GTCAGCGAGTCATCGGGAGCACCGAAGTGGTGCTCAAGACGACTGAGTTGATCCAGCAGGTCCGTAGTAGGCTGCAGACTGCGCAGAGTCGGCAGAAGAGCTACGCTGACAGGAGGCGTTCGGACTTGGAGTTCCAGGTGGGAGATATGGTTCTTCTGAAAGTCTCACCTTGGAAAGGTGTCATCAGGTTCCGGAAGAGGGGCAAGCTGGGCCCCAGATTTATTGGTCCTTTCAGGGTTTTGGCCCGGGTGGGTCGGGTTGCTTATCGGTTAGATCTTCCTGAGGAGCTTAGTCAGATCCACAACACCTTCCACGTGTCGCAGTTGAGGAAGTGTTTGGTGGATGAGTCAGCAGTCGTTCCCCTAGAGGATATTCAGGTTGATAGCAGCCTGAATTATATTGAGAGGCCGGTCGCGATTCTGGATCGGAAGACCAAGACCTTGAAGAACAAGGTAATCCAGCTAGTGAAGGTACAGTGGCAGCACCGGAAGGGGTCTGAATGGACGTGGGAGGCTGAGGAGGAGATGAGAACGCACTACCCGGAGATATTTACAGATCCAGCCGTAGCAGACTTCGAGGACGAAGTCTGAGATAAGTGGGGGAGAATTGTAACGACCCGTTCCCGGTATGTTAATTCATTAGTAATTGTTTTAAAGTTTTGCAAGAGGGACTCGGCGAGTTCATAGCCTGACTCGCCGAGTAGGGTCGCGACTTCGAGCACGTGTTAGCTGGAGACTCGGCGAGTCCATATCCCGGACTCGGCGAGTCCATCCGTCTGGGTGAAACCCTAAATCCCCGGGTTGCCCACTATTTAAGTCACCTTATAGCCCCCATTCTCGCCTCCTTCACCCTCTAAAGCTGTGAGAAAACCCTAGTTCATCCTTGAGAGTTTGTAAGTGATTTTGTGTGATTTTGTGAAGGCTTGAAGAAGGAGAAGAAGAAAGGAGCAAGGAGAAGAGGTGGAGTGCCAAGATCCAAGGGCAAATCTGAGTTATTTGAGGTATTTTCGGATTTCCCCTCTTGTTTTATGCTTTAAACCTCCATTAGAACTCTTCTAAGAACTAGTTGATGCTTGTTCCAAGCCTTGTGCTTTCATGAACGCCCTAATAAGCCGAGATAACCTTGGATCTATTCATTGAGAAGTCCCATAGTCCAGATCTATTGCCTTTATGAGGATACTATGCATATTAACCCTAGATCTATCCCTTTTATGCATCTTTTAGCCTTATTTTCCCTTATTCATGTGTTGTACACGTAAAGTTGGAAACTTTACGTGGTAAACCAGCTTATTGGACTCAGATCTATCATTTGTATGTGTTGGATTCAAGCAAAATCGGGTAAAAAACAGTTGCATGGCGGCAACTCGGCGAGTCGGGAAGAACGACTCGGCGAGTTGAGTCGCGAGTCCCCGATTCCTTCATTTTTAGCAGTGTTAAGTGGAACCAGTGAGTTAGAGAGTGGACTCTGCGAGTTGAAGGTAGACTCAGTAATGGAGGGACTCGGCGAGTTGTTCATACAACTCGGCGAGTCCAAGGCAATATTCTTAAGATCAAGAACAACTCATCGAGTATGTTCATACGGCTCGGTGAGTCGGATGAAGATTTTCTGAGTTCTTGGATCAAGATGGTACTCGTCGAGTCGATGCCATACTCGACGAGTAGCAGCGAGTAGGATTGAAAAGTGAGAGTAGAAACTCGGCGAGTTGGGTGGCCCAACTCGGCGAGTCAGTCCAAGTGAGAGTAACTTTGACCAAGGGTAAAAGAGTCATTTTACCCAAGTGCAGTGTTTAGTATTTGATTGAGTGTGTTTATGGACTTGTAGCCGGGGAGATACAGGAGCAGCAACCGTTAGCTTCCAGAGCCACACACTCAGCAGCCAGTTTACGAGGTGAGTTTCCTTCCAGTAGGGACGGGTCTAAGGCCACAATGCCGGCCCGTTCAGTTAGCAGTAGTTTCCGGACTTTGATCCGATGCAGTAGCTAGTATGTTTGATGCCTTTGTGGCTCAGACAGGATTTGTGTGCTATGTTTTATGTGTTATGTATTATGTGTTCCGGGCTACAGCCCGATGTAGTATGCAGCATATGTGTTCATGCTAGTTGTTATGTTATGCTACGCTATGCTCAGTCAGTTAGTTCCGGACTTCAGTCCGATGCAGGGGACAAGGTCCCAGTCGGTTCCGGACTTTGGTCCGATGCAGTTGGTTCCGGACTTCGGTCCGATGCAGTCGGTTCCGGACTTCGGTCCGATGCAGTTAGTTCCGGACTTCGGTCCGATGCAGTTAGTTCCGAACTTCGGTCCGATGCAGATAGTTCCGGACTTTGGTCCGATGCAGGGGACAAGGTCCTAGTCAGTTCCGGACTTCGGTCTGATGTAGTTGCCGGGCTTCGTCCCGATGCAGTGGGCAAGGCCCAATATGTGTTTATATGTTATTGTATGGTATGTGGTAGTTTGGGGGAGCTCACTAAGCTTCGTGCTTACAGTTTCAGTTTTGGTTTCAGGTACTTCCGCAAGCAAAGGGAAGAGCTCGGGGTGACGGCATCGCACACACCACAGCTTTAGCTTTTAGCCTGGGATTGATTTAGTTTGTTTTGATTTGACGTAGTATGATACAGTTTCCGCACCGTGTTTTCTATTATGTTGGAATACATCACGTATGGTTTTATTATATGACACTCTGATTATGGTTTTGATTATATCGAAAAACGAAATTTTTGGGATGTATTTTTGGGTTGTTTCAGATTACCCAGTGTAAGGGTTTTCTGTTCTTGTCTATGCGTGAAGATTTCTTACCTAATTTCTCCTTCTCGGTTTCATACTCGCTTGGTTTCAGTTTCAGGTCTGTACCCGTTGTTCTCTGTCAACTCCAATCAAAACCAACCGGCCATCCACCCTCGATGTCACCTCCTTTTCCGGTCACCAAGAATCAGCAGACGCAGATAGCTGGCAACAAGAAAAACACGAACAATAGAGTGAGAGAAAAAGAAAGAGAAATTTGAAATTCGACTTTAGGTAACCATTATTTTTCGTTCCCTTATTTTTTTCTAAATCGATTTGTAGTTCAACTATGGAATTTTGGGAAATTTGATGTTTTTTCTCCATCTTCAATTACTATGTCTTTCTTAATGATACGTTAATTTGTTTGATTGAGGGTTCGACATGATCAATTACTCAGACCATTATAGGTATCGACATGTATAGCATCGTTTATTTGCGATTTGCGACTAACTGGCATTCATTAGCGATTTGCACGTAAGTACCTTTGACTGAAACTTTATTGACTTTCTGTAATCATTTTTCACAAGTTTATATCATTTATCCTATTTTCTGTTTCTTCCAAATACTCATTATATTGTCACTTATAGGAACGAAAAGAGAGGCATTTGTACCCCCTTCTTATTCACAATGTAGTTTTGTGAGAAGAGTTTGTTCATTACCAACTTGATGCATTGATGTTCAATGATCAACCACGTCCAGATTATGGGGTCGAAGTCATGTACAGGGTAATTACTTCCTATTTTTAAAATCTAATTCATCTTTTTTCTAAATGATTTTTGACCTTAACATGAATTGCATTTTGTTGGATTTGATCCTTTTGAAAGATCTCTATATTTCGTGTTAGAATTTACAACACATATACTTGAGAAGAACTCTATTTTCTGTATTATGAACTGCATACGTACAAATGGATCACTCCATTGCTAACTAGCTAACTAGCTTGCGAATGAAATGAAACCTGGTGTCCACATGCTTTGTGCGACTATGCAGAGTGGGCTTTTTTGTTAAAAGAATTGCAGATTTGTTATCTCCATAAATAACAGTTTCTTCAGCTTGTTCTTGTTGAAGTTCCTTTAAAACCCTTCTCATTCACATTGCTTGACATGCAGCTGTAGTCAAGGAAACATATTCAGCTTTGGTACTTGAAAGTGCAGTGCACTCTTGTTTCTTTGAGCTCCATGTAACAACTCTTGTTCCCAAAGTGAACACACTTGCTGAGACGCTTCTGCTATCATCATTATAACCTGCCCAGTCATTATTCGAAAAGCCACAGAGTTTGACTTGAGTTGCTTTGGCATACCAACACTCAGGCGACTATGATCCAAGGCAGAAATGTATTGAACATCATGAAGGCATCTAGCCTTATCATTCTCAAACTGAATTCTTACTGTACCTTTTCCTTCTCCATGTAATGTTTTTCCATTTCTAAGTTGCAGAGTCATTTTCTTTGAATCATCATGTTGAGAGAAGGCATTTCGTTTACCTGTTGGATAATAGCTAGTGCTTTAACATCTTTTCTTCTATTTTCTCGTAAGTTTGCTTCTTCATTCTCTGCGGGAAGTCGATGCTCAACTAGTTCCCACAGATCTTGTGATCTTAGTATTCATAGCCTTCTCCTTTGAACAATGGAATCAAAGGTTGTGTAGTGCTTAGTGCAGTCCTGTTGGTTGCCATTTTCAGAACCACAAGGAATCGTTGGCTCTGATACCACAATGTTAGAATTTAGAACACATATACTTGGTAAGAACTCTCTTTTCTGTATTATAAACTGGATACGTACAAAGGGAAATCCTAGCTTACTTAAAAGAAATAACAAAGCTAAAACAGTTACTAGAAAATAGGCATACACCCACTAAGGGTAGTTATTGAGATTAGACTAAGTCATGACCATAAAACGAGGAATACTAAGTCTTAAACTTGAAACATGGACACGTAGACAACTTTGAGTCAGTAACTAACATTTCGATCCTTCTTTTGATTTGGGACAGGTTAGTAATTGACATAAAACTTTTTTTTCTTCAAAATCTCTGTATCTTACTATCATTAATCGAATTATTTTTTGTTCATGTTCATGTTCATGTCCATGCTATGCCCATAATAAGCCTAGATAAAAAAGTCAAACTTTGGTCAATCACTCTAAGTTTTGAGAAACAAAACACTTTTTATTTTTGTGTGAATATATAATAAATAATCAACAAAACCTGCATAGCTGCCCAATCGGGATATGCATGAACACTGGTCTGCTGATGCTCCTTGTTATGGTGGCAATCTCCTATCGGTCGCTTTGATTCTCCATGGGACAATTTTGACCCTTCTCCTGTTCCAATTAGGGGAATACTGAGAGTATGATGTTAGAGATGGAGTACAACTCTGATCTAGAGCTTTTAGAGATACAGAGGTGCAAACCGAGTTTAATGACGAAGATTAACGCAAAGTTATTCTTATTGTTCATGGTATGATTTTCACAACTTTTTTTTTATTAATTTAAGGATTTGTGTCTAGTTTTTTCATGTTGTTGAAAATTTATGTATTTATTTCAGATACAAAGCCTCCATTTTTGGATGGGAGAGTTGTGTTTACCAAGCAAGCAGAACCGATAATGCCACTAAAGGATCCAACTTCTGATATGGCTATTATTTCAAGAAAAGGTTTGAACCTTGTTAGAGAACTTCATGAAAAACAAAGTATGAATAGTGTCAGCAGTTTTGGGAAGTTGTTGGCTCAAAGCTTGGTGATATTCTTTGACTTGAGAAGACAGCATATTTGATTGATACTGATACAACAGTTGTTGGTGAAGTTGATTTCAAGGAAGAAGCAAAGTTTGGCAAACACATGAAAAAGGGTGAAGCAGTAAGTGATTTTGCAAAGTCAAAATCACTTTCACAACAACGTCGGTATCTCCCCATATTTTATATTCAAGATGAGTTATTACAGGTATGTTTTTTTCTTCAAAACTTATAGCCAAAAAAGCAATCTGTTGACATTGTTGTGACCCTTGTTTTAGGTAAAACGGGAGAATCAAGTGGTGGTGGTTATAGGTGAAACTGGTTCTGGAAAAAGAACATAGTTGACTCAGGTACTTGACTACTTACTTTCCAATCTCAAGTTTTATAATACTCATGATGTTACATACATCTTATTTTAAAATTATATATGTATATATATATATATATATATATATATATATATATAAAGTATTTACATGAAGATGGGTATACAACAAATGGCATAGTAAACAAAAAATAAAATAAAATAAAAAACTACATATTAATTTGCTAATCAGTTGTAGCTACTATTATAGAAATGCTATCAAAGACTTATCAATTGGGATTACCATTGAGAGCTCAAACATATAGTGTCTCTACGAGCTACTGCTTCTAGTAGTGATCCAACAGGAGTTTGACAATATGAGTGATCTAACAGGTAAAGGATTATGATGCTGCTCTGGATCTAGAGTTAGACTCAATGGATAAATTTGTCCTTCAGTGTCTGGCCTTATATCAGGTTGAGTGCTGAATCGCCGTGTTTGCCACATCAGCACCTGAATTACTTTCAGCCTGGAAAAGGATTAAAAAAAAACCATACATCTCATCAAAACAATATTTGTGAAACTCTCAAAGGTAATTAATCACTACTGACTTGAATGATCAGAATCAACTAATCATATAACCAGTTGTTAAGGTTATTACCAGTTTTATAAATTTTATAGTTATCTCAATAATCAATTTATTATAGCAGATCCCAATCTAATTATTTTCTCTCTAATAATAAAAAAAAACAAAACCATATTTCATATCCAAACATCCCCTTCAAAAACCAATTAAATCATAGTTTCTAAAGTTTGGTAGCCAATTGACTAGTTCATAATAATAATTAATTAATGGAACAATTTGATCTTTAATATCAAAAAAGTTCAAAATAATATGTTGAATTTTCGGATATCTGTTTAAGACTAGTATATCCTTTCTCTGGCCTTGTGTTATGTGCTTAATACAATATGATTTTATTTAATACATAGCAATAAAAAGTGATAATTATATATCTAAGTATTTAGACTTATTTGTATATAAATAATGCAGATATGAAGGTAACCCAAGAAGAGAGAGGAAATGGTGGTGAAACAGATATTGCTGATGTGATTATTGAGGAAGACATGGTTGCTAGTGCTCAAAACCTGGATATTGTTCGTGTCCCTATCCCTGAAAGCAAAATGAAAATGAGGTATTAATCAGGATGTGATTATTTGTCATGCTTAATCATTTTACTTGATAATATATATATATATATATATATATATATATATATATATATATATATATATGTTTACCATGTGCTTGAAGTGCCACATGGTAAACTAAGAACAATAATCAATTTCTATTGTACGTGATATATATGTTTGTAGAATCAATCAAATACAAGTATATCTAAGAATATCAAGTTTTTTTATATTTTATATACGAAGTTTCCATCAACTGTCTTCTAACATGAATTTTACATAGTAGTTTTGCAACATCAATGGTTTGTTGGATCCACACCTCTTTCAAACTTCACCCCAATTCCAAATGCTACAGTTGAGGTAATTACTAATTTGTGGTTCTTTTCTGAATTATTGCTTTTAATGACATCTCACTCTATGCAATTGTTTTATTCTTTTAGTTTAGGTGTACTGGCCAGATATCCCCCTATATTTGCTCTATCTTCACCAGTCTCCCCAGGTAAATAACAAAAAAAAACCCTAAACTCTAAACAGTCGTTCCTAATTGTGTCATTCAGATATCAATTTTAACCTTTTTGCATAGGAACCAAAATACCCAAAAGTTTTGAAGCTTGATGTGCGTGGAGAACTAGTGGAGGGAAACATAATTACATGCCACCTAGAGGTTGCATGGTGTGGTGGGACCCTAGCAAAAGCATTTCTAGGTAAGCCATATTCATACAATTGCTATGTAATTTGACTTGTCAACAGAAGGCTTAATTAATACTTGTTGCTTTTTTCAGTTTGTTAAGGAGATGATGGAATAGTAGTCTAGTGGTGATTTTGGTGCTAAAAATGAGGAGTATTTATTGACTCTAAATGACTTTGATTCATGTCTATTTTATGATTACTCAAAATAGGAGAAAATTTTGCTTCTGGATCTTGTGGTGATCTGTATGTCCATTATATTATTATTATTATTATTATTATTAGTATTATTATTATTATTATTATCATTATCATTATTATTATTATTATTATTATTATTATTATTATTATTATTATTATTATTATTATTATTGTTGTTGTTGTTGTTGTTGTTTAATTTAATTCTAAATATTCTCTGTCTTTTTTTATTCTTGGCAAGGCATCATGGTGTATATGTTGGTTAGGAAGTTGCTCTCAAAATTCTTAGATCTGAGCACTTGAATGAAGCATTGGAGCATAAATAAAGCACTGATCATTGACAAGGCAGATATGGACAATGATCTTGAAATGGTATTTACTATTTACTATTTACGTTATTATGTCCACCAGAACATATAATCTCTTGCCCTTGGCTTTTCCCTTGCCAGTTAACTTTTTCATGTCCTTTAAAAGTATTTAAGGAGGTGCGGGAAGAACATCATACAAACATTTACAAGGAGCTGTTGTATCTATTCAGACTAGGCTTAGAGCAATGGCTGCATGAGATGAGTTCAGAAGAAGAAGAAGAAAGAGCAAGGCTGAAACTATAGTTGTGAATTCTAGCAGAAGATATCGTGTACGTGTTCTTGTGTTGCTATTGTCGATTCGGGAACATCCTTGCTTACGTACTGGTCCAACTGTATGTATCTCATGTGAAGCTTTTGTTAGAACTATTAATCTCAAGGATTTCAAGTTTTTCATATTTCTTGTATCTAATTAGTTTGTAAATTTTTATTACAACTTCTATTGATTTGTTTTATCTTTCCATGGAATGATTATTTGTATGATATTAAATTTTATGCAATGGATTGTAATTTTTGTATATGATACTTTATTTTCTATTATGAGACATTAAATACAAATTTAATTTGAAAATAAGTAAATCTATAAATTATATTTTTTTTAAACATTTAAAATTATGATACACAAAAATGTATGTCGTCTTCATTTATGACATGGTCTTTCTTGACGGGGGGTTTTCTTGATACGCATTGTGTGTCATTAACACGCGCGTCGTAAGGTTACGACACGCGAATGCGTGTCGTCTTCCTTTATGACAGGGACTTCCTTGATACGCATTGTGTGTTGTAAACGCGCGTCGTCTCTCTTTATGACAAGGTCTTCCTTGACGCGCATTTGCGCGTCGTCTGAGCCTTTTACGACGCACAATGAGTGTCGTAAAAGGTTGTTTTTCTAGTAGTGACGTTTATGATTTAACTGTAAGGTAATTAAAGGTGAAATAAGATTTAGTCATTGCAATTTGCACCTCTAATTTTATGTTATGCGAATGAAAAGCACAATGGCATGAGACTCCTACAAAATACAAATCGTTTAATTGTTTTATAACTTATATTTTCTAGTAACATACGAGGGCTAAAACACATTTGAGTTTTATAATTATTATTACTCTGATTAAAATCTATTACAAAATATTTTGACATCAATTATAAACATATTTTTATTTATAATTTCAACTTTTCATTTAATTCATTGCATTTACGTTATAAATAATTTATATGGTTAATTATATTTTCGTATATTGTAATAGTCAATCAATCTATCCCTTAATGAAAAACTAAAACCCCAATATCACAATTTTAGGAGCGATTTTGAAATATTAAAAACCGACATAACATGTTCAAGGATTAGTTCCAATATTCTAGGGTTGTATGTTCCAATTTTAGTAGGCCTATATATAAAAAATGACCAAAATCCATAGATAAAATTATAAATTTCAATATATTTTAACAATATATTTGTTTTACTATGCAACATGCGGTATACGTTTAGTTCTTAATAAAAGACTCCTTTAAATGTCGCTGCCACCCTTTTAATCCACCTTCTTGTCACTATCACTATCGCAACTGTGTTTACCTCGCTTTCCCTGCCCATTACTTGCACTCAAAAGTCGATATATCACCTCCTACTAATCGGTAAATCCGTTTAAATACTCCAAATATACATTTTAAACCACTCTCTTTAAATCGACAATCATATCATTCAAATAAACACTTCGATTTTGAAAAAAAAAAAACTTTATTTATGTTAAATAATTGAAATGAATATCATGCCTATAATTTTGTTGATCCGTTTTCTGTAATAATGCATAAATTTTCAAATAAATCAAATATGAATACTTTGATTTAATTATAAAAAAATAACATCTTATCAACTACTATTAACAAAAAAAAAGTTGAAGTTTCCTAAAAAATATAGTTATAAAGAATTATTATAGAATACGTTTGTATTTGAATACTAGGTTACAACCCATGGAAACCACGGGTAAAAAAGTAAAATAATATTGATAATTAAAAATGTAATGAAAAATCAAATAATTTATAAATTTTTATTAAAATAATAAAATATAAGTCTTTTTGTCGAAATTTTTAATTGTCTAAATCACTTAGTGCTCTATTTGATTTTCACAACTATCAATATAATATTTCAACTTGCACTGATGTCTAATTGTGCAAAACTCCTCAATTTTTTCATGGAGTTATAAAACCTTAGCTAAATCATGTATATGTCAGAAGTCACAATTGTGCATGAACATTCAAAAGTTCCTAATTTCTAAAATAATTATCTGTTGTTTTCTTACTGTGGTCCTATAATAGAGAGAATTGCTTTAATAACACATGACAATCAACCCTCGAATGTTAATACATGTACATTAAACATCTATGATGAAAGGAGAATTAAGTACTTACAAAATGAATTTCAAAGACTTACCCCTTATAAACATCCTCAAACAGCAAAATACATATATTTTTTAACAACCTACTTCTAATTACATATAAAAAAATAAAGCAAAAAACAATTTTTTTTGCATAGATGGACACATGCAATACTTTCAATTCTTTTTGTACAGCCAATCAACTAAATGGTCAAATGCATGAAATATTTGT